TTAGAAGAAATAAAGAAGAATTGTAGGTTAACAGGTATTTTTCCTCATCGAGCACGTCGAAGCTCTTGCTCCTCTATAATTTTTTTTTTTTTAAGAGACAAGGTCTTGCTATATTGCCCAGATGGTCTCAAACTCCTGGGCTCAAGCAATCTTCCAGCCTTGGCCTCCCGAAGTGCTGGAACTAAAGCATGATCTAATGTTGCCAGCCTCCATTGTCTTATCCCTGACTAGGTTTAAGATGAAAAACCTGCTGTTATCCTTATCTTTGTTACTTTGTACATAATTTGTCTTTTGTCTCTGTTGCTTTTAAGGATGTCTCTGTCACCGGTTTTAATCAATTTGATTATGAAATGCCTCTGTACAGTTTTTGTACTTGGGATTCAATGAGTTTCTTACACCTGAAGTTTTACAATTTTCACCAAAGTTAGACCATTGTTAGTCATTATTTCCTCAAGTATCGTTTTAGTCATGCCCTCCCTTCAGTGATTCTAACTACATATATGTTAGACCACTTGACAACAAACCACAGCTCATTAATAGTTGCCCTTTCTTCCCCCAGACTTCACAGTGTGCTTCATTTTAGATAGTTTCTACTGTTATATCTTCAAGTTTACTAATCTCTTCCTCATCCATTCTAAAATTAATCCCATCATATGTATTTTTTTGCGTATTATAATTTTCTTCTTTAGAAATTTAAATTGAAGACGTATATGTATGCCTTCAATTTAAGATATATAAGTATCCTCTCCACAGGTACCTTCCTCACACGTGTGCTGATCAAGACTAAAAGGGAACTTCTGCAGATCTCTGGACTCTTCGGATAGTTCTTTCCTCTCCAGTTCTCAGTCCCTGGCCTGCCCCTAGATTCCCAGTTTCTCGGAAATCACTTGTCCTTCCTTGCCCAACGTTCAATACCTTGAAAACAGTTTTTATATATTTTGTCAAGGTTTTTAGTTGTTTCAGGCAGGAGAGTAATTCTAGTCTGTTACTCTATCTTGGCCAGAAGCAGAAGCCTAAAAGTTACTAAAACATTACAAACAGAGAAAACTGCTTAAAGAGCAAATAATAGAAAATCTATGATGAAATAGATGGGACCTAACTATACATTATGAGAGAGAGAAAGAGAAAGAGAGAGAGAGAGAGAGAGAGAGAGAGAGAGAGAGAGAGGAAATTTCCCTATGAAATTTATTATTATATTGATTGTTACTTTTACAGATTGCTATTTTACATTAAAAATCTAAGCCGGGCTCGGTGGCTCAGCCTGTAATCCCGCCCCTTGAGAGGCTGAGGTGAGTGGATTACATGAGCCTGAGGGTTCGAGACCCACCTGGGCAACTTGGCGAGACCTCATCTCTACAATAAATCAAAAAATTAGCTGGGCGTGGTAGTGCACGCCTGTAATTCTGGCTACTTGGAAGGCTGAAGCAGAAGGATCACCGGAACCCAGCCAGTCAAGGCCACGGTGGCCAGGAGCGGCCACTGCACTCCAGCCTGGGCGACAGAGTGAGACTCCCACTCAAAAAAAAAAAAGATATATAAAAAAAAACATCTAGTTTATTCATCAAAATATATATATCATTAGAAGGCACTCCAGATAATTGCTGCTGGGAATGAAATGATACCATTTATCTATTAAAACTTAAAAATGTCTATACATGTGAAGACAGCAATTCCAGTTATCAAAATTTATTCAACAGAAATACAAAACATGTAAATGAAAATATATTTACATGGCCGTGTGAGACAAGTTGTACTTTCCCAGCCCACTTGATCTGGTATTTCTGTAATATTTTGTCAAAAAAGTTTTTTTTAATTCTAACATTAAAATGTGTAATTTTAAAATTAATTTTAAAGTTTCCATAATTTTAATAATCAATCTACAGATTTTATTTAAATTTTGTCACTTGTTCCACTAAAGTCCTTTATGGAGGGTGGGAGAAGGACTGGGTATTTTGAGAAACTACTGCCTTCAGGCCAAATCAGGATGGCCACCAGTTTTTGTAAATACAGTAAAGTTGTCCTGGAAGACAGATACGCTATTCATTACGTATTGTCCATGGCAGATTTGGGGATACAAGAACAGAGGAGAGAAGTTACAGTAGACTCAGTGTGACTGTGCCTAATATGTTTATTATCTGATCTGATCCATTTCAGAAAACAACTGCCAACTATAGCAAAATAGTTCAGGATTTGCCCAAATATAGTTGTTATGTTTCTACAGTCTTCTTTAATCTGAAGCAGTTCCTCAGTCTTTGTTTTTGATGATCTTGAAATTTTTGAGGAGGAAATACAATTTATTTTCTAGACTAGACCTCAGTTTGTGTCTGCCTGATGTTTTCATTTTCTTAGATTTAGCTAAGGGATTTTTGGCAAGAATACCACAAAAGTGATAATGTGTCCTTCTTGGGAAGGATGTGATGTCTATTTATCCACTACTGGAGAATTTAGAGCATGCAATTATGTGGTACCTGCCAGGTTTCTCCACTGTCAGGTTATTATTTTTCCCTTTATCATTAATACATACTTTGTGAGGATATGCTTTCAGATTCTGTAAATATTTTTTCATCAAACGTAAATCCAGTTAAGCATCCACTGATGACTCTTGCCTGGGACAATGGTCACCACTGAAGTTGTGAAATGGTTATCTCATCATTTCTTCTGCATTTTTTAGATGGCATTCTTCTGCAAGGAAAAGCTATCCTCTTTCTCATATGTACTGACTCATTTACATAAATATAGTTTTTATAATATTTACACATATAAATAACATACTGAGACAATTTGTCTCAACTTCTTAACTGTTACTTTATTATACTGATTTTAATCCATTACTATTCATAGCAAGACCTCGTCACTACAAAAAAAAGTTAAAACCTAGCCAGGCAAAGTAGGCCATGACTGTACCGCTGCACTCCAGCTTGGGTGGCAGAGTGAGACCCAACTCAAAAAAAGAAAGAAAGAATAGCAGTATTTGGAAATAATCTAAATGACCATCAATGTGAAATATTAAATCTGAAAGTGGTTTAAGAAGACAATGAAAAACCATGGAGTTATATTAAAGGGAACTACCAAGGTAGAAGACGTACTAGTAAGTGGCATTAAAAGGTACAGAATAGGGTAGAGTATGATCCCAGTTAAGTTTAAAAAGAAAAAAGACAGACATGTGCACATATACATATGATTTTCTTGAAAGATACAAAGGAAAAATTACTAACAATGCAGGGTTTACATTAACTCTCAGACCAAGACTGTGGAACTGGGGCTTTTTACTTTTCATTTTATAACCTCTGGATATTAGAAATTTTTAAAATAATTTTCTTTCTTTCTTTCTTTTTTTTTTTTTGAGTTGGAGTCTCACTCTGTCACCTAGACTGGAGTGCAGTGGCCGTTCCCGGCCACCGCAGCCTCGACCTGCTGGACTCCGGTGATCCTTCCTCCTCAGCCTTCCCAGGAGCTGAAATTACAGGTGCGCGCTACCACACCCAGCTAATTTTTGAGTTATTGTGGAGATGAGGTCTCGCCAAGTTGCCCAGGCAGGTCTCAAACCCGCGGGCTCAGGCAATCCACTCACCTCGGCCTCCCAAAGTGCTGGGATTACAGGCTGAGCCACCGAGCCCGGCCTAAAATAATTTTCAAGACTCATACTTTTAACATTTATAATTTAAATGTATATTGTAAAATTAATATATTTAATTACAGTATAATATTTATACTCATTAAAAATGGGTAAAATTGGGTGGGCTTGGTGGCTCAGCCTGTAATCCCAGCATTTTGGGAGACTGAGGCGAGTGGATTGCCTGAGCCTGTGGGTTCGAGACCAGCTTGGGCAACTTGGTGAGACTTCGTCTCTACAATATTAAAAAAAAAAAAAAATTAGCCAGGAGTGGTAGCGCATGCCTGTAGTTCTGGCTACTTGGAAGGCTGAGGCAGAAGGATAACCAGAGCCCAGCAGGTCGAAGCTGGGGTGGTCATGATTATGCCACTGCACTCCAGCCTGAGTGATGAAGTGAAACTCCAACTCAAAAAAACCCAAAAAGCAACAACAACAAAATGAGTAAAATGTGGCCAAGTACAGTGGCTCACATCGATAATCCCAGCATTTTGGGAGGCCAAGACAGGAGGATCACTTGAGGCCAGGAGTTCCAGACCAGCCTGGACAATCCTGCTTCTACAAAATAAAAATTTTAAAATCACTTTTAAAAATCTTTATACTGGGTAACATTCTGAAGCTTTTTTAAAAATTCTTTTTTTTTCTTTCTTTTTTTTTGAGTCAGGGTCTCACTCTGTCGTCCAGGATGGAGGGCAGTGACTTTCACGGCTCACTGCAATAACGGCCTTCTGGGCTCAGGTGATCCTTAAGTTTTAGCCTCCTGAGAAGCTGGGACTCGGTGTGTGCCACCACACCCAGTTAATTATTTTTATTTTTGTAGAAGTGAGGTCTTGCTATGTTGTCTAGGCTAGTCTCAAACTCCTGGTCAAGCAATGCTCATGCCTTAGCCTCCCAAAGTGGGCAAGGTATTAGCCACCTACCCAGCTAAAATTCTTTCCTAAAAGAATCTTTCAAGGGCAACCCCTTCGGGCCCCCTCCCACTGTGGGAGCTTTTCAATCCTCTCAATAAATTCTGCTTTCTTAAAATAAAGAAAATTTTTTAAAACTCTTGCACGTCTCACCCACAATCAGCAAACTGCAATTGGCTAAGTGTATCTAGATATAGATATCTATCTTTACACTGCCACCTGTGTTGTATTCACTATATAATATACAATACTAATTCTCAAAAAGCCTTCATTTTCCCTTTTGAATTATATCCACTTATTCCTGCGTTTTTGTGGCAGGAGAAAGGGAAATGAGGGGAAGGGAGGATGAGAATAAGCTTACGGTTGGGATACCAACATGAATGACTTCTTTTTGAGAGCACCTAATAAAGTTTCTAAAAAAAACCCAGCATTTATACTTTCATGAAATGTCTGCATAAAAGGCTGACTAATATAATGCTTACCTAGTGAGTCGTTTAGGTGGAGGCCGCTCACCAAATTTCCTGGAAAATAAAATAAAATAAAAAATTAAATGTGCTGCATGATACGGTCCACAGTAAGCTTTCTAGGCACCATCAACTCTCCTTTATGACTTAACCTTCAGCCTCACTAAGAAACAAATCCTCTACTAAGTGTTTTTAATCAAAAACAATAAAACACACATCTTAAAATAGTTCTTAAAAACAATACATCCTAAGTAGGCCTTATACACTCACTCTGTAGCAAACTGATCAGATGAAATGCGAGTATCTTTTAGAGATGCCTCACAAAAAAACAATTACCCAAGGAATCTTAGTCTCACACCATCCGCAGAATTAAGGAAAAGTCTCTCTGCCCAAGAGGTGGTATACAGCTCATAGGTAGTTACCACATGTCAGCACTAGACTCTACATCTTTATACATTCCCCTAATTAATCACTATAATTCCAAAGAAGGTACATAGAAGTCTTGGTTTAAAGATGAAAAAGTAACTTACTCAATGATGTCAAAAAGTAAATTACATGGCAAGAAGAGTTGAGATCTAAACCTGGACTTTACTTAACTAGCCTAGAGTCTATGGCCCTTTAAAAATTAAACATGGGTAAATGGACTAGCATAGAGACATAGTAACTGGTAAGACTGGCTAGGTTTAAATCCATGATTTGTTATTTTGCTACTGTGCTATGTAACCCTGAAGTTACTTGGCTCTCTAGACCTGTTTCCTCATCTATAAAAAGGACAGAGGGATTGTATGTAATTACCTCAAAGAGTAGTTGAGGGAATTAAATATGTTAAGCAGAAATAGAAAACACACTGGAGACACCTGGAACACAGTAAGTGCCCAATAAATGCTAGAGATTATTACCATTTTTGTAGTTATAAGTGGTTAAGCTAAAACGAAATAAAGGAATTAAGTATGTTGTTAAAAGAGATAAATAATTACAAAAGGAAGAAGAAAGAGTAGTTCCTCTGAGATGGGAAACGCAAACTTAAGAGATGGTGAAGGCAGAGCACTTGAAAAAGACCAAAAGAAGTTGTTTGCTGTTTTGAAGCAAGATTGCAGTTATAAACAGTTAAGTAACTTGTTCATAATCACAGTTACAAGATGTAGAGTTATAAGATGTAGGCAAATCTTTATTTGCCTTAAAGATTTCTCTATTTTATTTGTGTGTTCCACAATATCATTAACTTTGATGAAGAAAGTCATAGGATCCCTCTTAGTTCATTTTGAGTAATTAAATGCCACATGATGACACGTTTATGAACCAATCATGTATACGAATGGGTATCTGTGACTAAACATTTAGTATTTTCATTAACCTTGAACTACCGAAAAGTGGCTTTGGCCGGGCTTGGTAGCTCGGCCTGAAATCCCAGCACTTTGGGAGGTCGAGGCAAGTGGATTGCCTAGCACACGTCTCTACAATAAAAAAAAAAAAAGAATTAATCGGGTGTGGTAGCATGCGCCTGTAGTTTCGGCTACTTGCAAGGCTGAGACAGAAGGATCGCCAGAGCCCAGCAGGTTGACGCTGGGGTGGCCGTGAGCGTGCATGCCACTGTACTCCAGCCTGCGCGACGGAGTGAGACTCCATCTCAAAAAAAAAAAAAGAAAAGTGGCTTTAATTAAAACAGTACAAAAAATGAGCAAATAATCCAAGTTCTTGAAATAAGAATTGCTTATGATTCATTTTTTATTGATTTTATACTACAGGATATTCAATTTTTACCATCAAGAAACAAAACAACAGTGTTTTAGTGGTAACACCACCAAAGTGGCTGAAGATCACAGGCTTCAAAGCACTGAACTATTTATTGACTGACCCATGAATTCTAGCTAAGGGATTAAATGTAAAAATTTGCTCCCGAATCTTTTTCTACAAAAAAGATGTTTTAGAATCTTTGAAACCGAGTAAATGTACCACTATCGTATGTTATTACAATAAAATTGCCTTACTAGGTTAGACACAGAATATTTTATGAAAACCAAAAAGTTTAAGATATTCTTTAAAATACTTTTTATATAGATATGTTTATATGTGTGTGAGATATGATCAAAGCTACCCAAAGGCTTAAAAAACAGTAAAAATTCAAGAGAGACAGAGATAGTTGAAAAATGAGATAAAACATTTTAATGATGCTGCCACCTACCTGTCGTACTAGCTACTAATACTCAAACCTTTTGGGATGTAACAGAAATATTGCACTCAAAACTCAAAAGTAAATTTTGGTCCTTGGTGCTCTGAAATTCTGTCAAAAGTAGATTATCAAGTAAATGTTAATTAAAATATCTAAGTCCTTTTTTGGGAATATTCATTATAGATCAAGTCAACAATTACCAAATATGCTTATGCAACATCACTCCTGTCCAAAAGAAAACATGAGCAAGGAACTCAACACATTTGCCTGCCAAGCCTGGACATCATTCTACACAAAAAGATTCATACTTCTGGGTGGCATCCTAAAGCTAGAAATGGTATAAACATTACTAAAATCAAATTGCTTCTTCAGTATACATTAATGCTTCTCCAATAATTGTGTGCTATTCTGATTCTCTCTTCAACACACATGCCATCACAGTTCTAGTTATCTCATTAAAACTAATGGCTACTCTCTATCTATTGGAGTGATGAAAGAATGAGAAAATAAGTTTTCCAAGAAAACTTTAAAAAACGTATGGCAGGTGAACATTATATTATTCTGAAGGTGACAATCAAATTAAATTCTAATTACTTAAATAAAACCTCATAGATCACCACATTAAAAATGTCAAGTTGTACCAAGTTACCGTATGTTTCCTTCACTTACCAAAATTCTTCTCCACTACTATTACTAACAACAAACAAAATTTCAATATCTACTGCAAAAAGACCCATCTCAACAAAATTCATGATGCAATACTCATATTATGGAACCAAAATCATCACCTGTCAACAGAATAACAGCATTCAGCTATCAATCACCCATAGTGGTACACATTTTTATCTTTATTTGCAATCTGTTTTAAAAACAAGCTGTCTATCATCATGATTTGTGTTGACAACTAAACCCCCAAAAAAGTTGGACTAACCACATTGAGGCCACTCCTAAGTACAACATTTTTCATAATAGGTTTACAGTGTGTTTAATAACGCAAAAAAAAAATCTAACTTCTTAAGTATCCTAGGGTCCCTTTTAACTTCATATAATAATGACTCCATCCCTCATTGTAACAAAGAATCACATTATCCAACGTATCTTTTTGGTAATTTCAGACTGTCGACATCTCATTTGCATGAGCTGGTTTTCCAAATTTTCTGCATACTATGTAAGATGTAATTTTAATTAAATGTAATAATCAATTCTGATATACATTTAAAAGGAAAACGTTACAATTCTGGGCTTTAAAAGAAACAAGCAAAAATGTGCTAGTGTATAACTGGTTTGCACCATGCCCGCCCCTTCTTTCCCTACGTTCTGTACATTTCCCTCAGCAGGAATGAGGAAGAGGCTTGCTCACCACCTATGCTCATATAATACTATGGCTCAAGAAAATGAATGTCATAAGTATAATTTAAAACTAGCAAATTCATTTTACTTTAACTTCACTAGTTTTCTTCTTCCAAGAAAACAATGATCTTATATTCAAAATAAAAATAGCTAGGATAAATGTTAGTTACTGTAGCTAAATTTGCTTCCATACACCTGGAAGTGCTTTTTTTAATGTTGCAATCTATCATTTAACGTAGTACTTCCTCCATATCCTTCAATTCATTAGAATTTTCAAGTTAAATAAACCTGCATACATATTACATTTATATATACATACTTCCTTCTTGCTCACAGAGGAGATACATTACTGCTTTCTCCCCACATCAAATACATCTGCTTTTATTTTTATCAATCTGTTACTAAGGAAGTGTATAACCACAAATGTATTAAAGAAAAACATGATAAAAGCTATCAAAACTTCACCATCGCCGGGCTCAGTGGCTCAGCCTGTAATCCCATGCCTTTGGGAGGCTGAGGTGAGTGGATTGCCTGAGCCCACAGGTTCGAGACCCACCTGGGCAGGCGAGACCTCATCTCTACAATACATTTTAAAAAATTAGCCAGGCGTGGTAGCACACGCCTGTAATTCCGGTTACTCAGAAGGCTGAGGCGGAAGGATTGCCAGAGCCCAGCAGGTGGAGGCTGCGGTGGCCGGGAGCGGCCATTGCACTCCAGTCTGGGCGACAGAGTGAGACTCCAACTCAAAAAAAAAAAAACAAAAAAAAAACTTCACCATCTTAACACCTTTCAGGCTAAAGATGCTTCACATAAGGAAACCAAGTCAAAAATCAAAAAGGAAGGAAAAATACAAGAAAAATATTTTTGAACACAGAACAATTTTGTAATTACAATGCTACAAAAGAAAGCAAATATCTGATCCATCTAGAATATTGTCTAGTAACCCAGGGCAACACACACTCAGTGACAACCTGAGTACACCCTGGATATGGACCCAAGCAGAGGGCTGGAGCCTGGGGAGGGGTCCTGGGAGTGACCAACCCGGATGTCCCAGTCCCCTTCCCCTCAGGCTCTGGCCTGGGCAGCCAGGTCGTGCTGAGGCCATGGGCAACTATAGGCGAAGTGTTCTTCTCCACACCTGCTGACCACATGTTGCAGCTATGCATAGTGAATGTTCTTATACACCCTTTCTTGAGGCAGTCAGTCCCCTGGGTTGGTTCAGACCAGATCAGGCATGTCTAGATCAATGCCTATAACCTTTGGTTACCTTCAGTTCATTATAGCACTAAATGTATGTATAAGCATGCTCTCACACTGTGCCTGTGCACTAGAAACCCTACCCTTTTCATGCTCAACCACGAACCCTGCCCTATGTCAAATGCGATATAACCTGTGTGCCTTTTGCAAGCAGGAGCGGTTTTTTCTGTCTAGCCAGCTGTTCCTGGACCATTTTCCCTATAAGTAAGTTTCCAAATAAAGCCATGTCTCCTGATTGTCTTTGAGTTATTTCTTTGGCCTCTTAAGACAGTGTCTTCCC